TAGATCCCCAGATCACACCCCAAAATATAATATTACCGTAAACATACTAAAATATCGTACACTAGGCTAACTGAGCATGCCAAAGAGGGTTACGTCCATATTGCATCCTAGCGCCAAGAAAAACCTAGATATAATTATCACGAAAATAATTGTTACCTTTATATTAGAAAATAAAATTTTAAAACGGAATCAAGAGATGAATAAACTACTAGAATACAAAATTTCAGAAGGCTCCTATGCTGGCGTTTCGAGATATATTACTGTAAACATGCTAAACATATGGGGGAATCGGGTTTGGGGTAGGCTGACTGCGCACGCAATAACTTCTAAACTAGCTTTGGTGGCTTCAATATCTTTATTTCACTAAATCGCCAGATGCATAAAGTATGCACATGCCGAATTTCATTAACTTTCTATGTTGGTGTATCGAGTTATACCACCGCACAGTTCCTAGCACCCGGATTGGAGGTGGAGTTTGTGGGTTCAATAAACAACGAGTACGCCCACGCTGCATCACAAAATTTCAGAAGGCTCCTACGTTGGAGTTTCGAGATATATTACCGTAAACATACTAAACATATTGGAGAATCGTGTTAGGGTAGGCTCACTACGCACGTAATAACTTCTAAACTAGCTTTGGTGGCTTCAATATCTTTATTTCACCAACTGGATAGATTCATAAGGTATGAACCTGCCAAATTTCATTAACTTTCTATGTTGCCGTATTGTACCACCGTAAAGTTACTAGCATCCGGATTCGAGGTGGAGTTTGTGGGTTGAATAAACAACGGGTACGCCCACGCTCCATCAAAAAACGACCCAAACTAGCTTTGGTGGGAAAATGTTTTTTATTTCACGGAATCAAGGGATGAATAAACTATTAGAATACAAAATTTCAGAAGCTTCCTATACTGGCTTTTCGAGATATATCACCGTAAACATACTAAAAATATGGGGGAATCGTGTTAGGGTAGGCTCACTGCGCACGTAATAACTTCTAAACTAGCTTTGGTGGCTTCAATATCTTTATTTCACCAACTGGGGAGGTGCATAAGGCATGCACATGCCAAATTCCATTAACTTTCTATGTTGGCGTATCGAGTTATACCACCGCAAAGTTCCAAGCACACGGATTCGCGGCGGAGTTTGTGGGGTCATTAAACAACGGGTACGCCCACGCTGCATCAAAAAAGGATCCCAACCCGCTTTGGTGGGAAAATGTTTGTTTGTTTCAGGGAATCAAGAGATGAATAAACTATTAGAATACAAAATTTCAGAAGGTTCCTATTCTGGCGTTTCGAGATATATTACCGTAAACATACTAAACATATGGGTGAACCGGGTTGGGGTAGGCTAACTGCGCACGCAATAACTTCTAAACTAGCTTTTGTGGCTTCAAAATCTTTATTTTACTAAATCGACAGATGCATAAGGTATGCACATGCCAAATTTCATTAACTTTCTATGTTGGCGTATCGAATTATACCACCGCAAAGTTCCTAGCTGGTTTTGGTGCTTTTTGATGCAGCTTCGGCGGCTTACCCCTTGTTTATTGAACCCACAAACGCCGCCTCGAATCCTGGTGCGAGGAAATTTGCGGTGGTATAACTCGATACGCCAACATAGAACGTTAATGAAATTTGGCATGTTCCTACCTTATCCATCTGTCGATTTGGTTAAATATAGATTTCGAAGCCACCAAAGCTAGTTTAGAAGTTACTGCGCGCGCGATGAGCCTATCCTTACCCGATTCCCCCATATGTTTAGCATGTTCTCGAAACGCCACCATAGGAGCCTTCTGAAATTTTGTATTCTAGTAGTTTATTCATCTCTTGATTCCGTGAATCAAAATACTTTTTCCCACCAAAGCTGTTTGGGGTACTTTTTGATGCAATATGGACGTACCCCTTTTTGCATGCTCAGTTAGCCAAGTGTGCGATATTTTAGTATGTTTACGGTAATAGTATATTTTGGGGTATGGGGTGGGATCGGGGGGTCTATTACATATATACTTTGCATTAATATGTTTTAAAATTTTATTTTCTAATATAAAGGTAACAATTATTTTCGTGATAATTATATCTAGGTTTTTCTTGGCGCTAGGATGCAATATGGACGTACCCCTTTTTGCATGCTCAGTTAGCCAAGTGTGCGATATTTTAGTATGTTTACGGTAATAGTATATTTTGGGGTATGGGGTGGGATCGGGGGGTCAATTACATATATACTTTGCATTAATATGTTTTAAAATTTTATTTTCTAATATAAAGGTAACAATTATTTGCGTGATTAATTATATCTAGGTTTTTCTTGGCGCTAGGAATACGTGGGCTATCTTGATCTCGAATCCGGGTGCTGGAATACGATGAGAGAATATGTCTGCTAACTTGATCTCGAATCCGAGTGCTAGTATACGGTGAGAGAATATGTCTGCTAACCTGATCTCGAATCCGGGTGCTGGAATACGGGTGAGAGATTCCGTTCGGTCATTATTTTATAACCACCTTTCGGGTGTGTTATGTATAGTGCACGTGCCATGATTAATCTACATCCGATTATTGCAAACAAAGCTTCCGACACCGTCCATTGACTACGGATTACATCCGATTACATCCGATTATTGCAAACAGCTTCCGACACCGTCGATTGACTACCGGTACGAGTAGATATTCCCTGAGAATATTAGATTCGCGTAAGTCCTTTCTTTATACGTAAACCATATTCCCAGAGATTTTACTATTGATCTAATTCGCTAATGTATTTGAAAGTAAACTGTTTTCCCGGAGATTTAGATAAAGGCTGTATGTGTGTAAACGAGTAAGCCATCAAAACCATGTCATCAAACAAATAAAAATCTTTTGAAAAAGCTTTTGTCAACTTTGATCTGTTCATGGTTGGTGTATTGTGAATCATCATAAAAGATTTATTCAGAGTTGGCGTTCATTCAAATACGAATACCTCACATTGAATGATTATTATAGTTTATTATCGTGTTAAACTATTTATCTCCCGGATCCATGTAGCAAATGACAGAGTTCACTTATTAATGTACCGATATTCCCTTTAACAGAACGTACTTTACTTTAGTTATTATGTATAGATCCACCTAAATGGATAAATATTTTGTTACAATATACTCTTCAAACCCAATATCATAAAATTAAACTTAGAAAGTTCCCAGAAAATTTCAAGCGTAGTTAATTCCCCTTGTCAGTGGTGGAGTCTGACAAGAACCATCTTTGATGAAGAGATGAAGAAAATACATAATTATGAGGGAAGGGGGAGAGGGCGGAAGAGGCTGAAAGTGTCAATTAATATATCAATAGTATACTCAAAAACGTTACTGATCTCTGTAAGTTAGAGACGGAGATAATACATTAGAAGAGCTAATTCAGTAACCGCTAATATTTAGACTTGGTACCGGACTGTATGTCATACTATAGAGAACCATTACTTCATTTCAGAACTTAAAAAAAACAATGTCACTTTCTCTATTATAATTAAATGATGATGATATTTATATCTATGAATACTATACAATGGATAAGAAAAGACAAGATAAAACATCAGAAGAACTAATTCAGTAATCTGTAATAATTAGACTTGGTACCGCAGCTGTTTGTCATATTATTGAGAACCATTAGTTTATTTTAACTCACAATTACTGACTGTATTAGAGAGAGAGAAATGGGGTTTAACGTCCACTCGACACAAACTAGATCATTTCAATTTTATGGTATCCATAATTCGCTTACACGTAGGGGTCTTTAGCAGTGGGAGGAAACCTGAGGACCCGGCGAAAACCCACGAAGTTGACAGGTGACCCTACTTCTTGTCACCTAAAACCGGGGAATCGAAACCACGCCAGTTGACTCAATGACAGACCTTATGATACAGCGCGCACGTGCTCACCATTCCCCCCCCCCCCTCAAGAGCCCTTAGCAGTTGGAATTCAACTTTGCCCGGATAGCGGCGCTTCAGCCTATTCTCGTGTAGAGACTACATCAACTTTCGAGGCGAAAAGTCGACAGCACGCCAGCAAGCCAAAATCATAGGTCGCCAATATCTCCATTAATACTAGACTTTATCATACAGACATGTATTCAAATGTGACCTGGAATGCAGAGACTTGAACACATTTCGAGGCGAACGTCGATAGTACGACCGCAAGCCAAAATGATTGGTCGCTAATAGCGTGATGTGTTTATTTCCTAATTTCTACTTTTCGAGTTGCATTATGGCTTGTTATGCTTGTTGGCTCCTTTTTACTGACATCAATAAATACAAAATATGACTAAGTCGAAAGTCGGCTCACAAGCCAAAATGTAAGTTGAAAATAAGGTGTAATCCATGTAAACTGCACGCTACGCCGTATACGGCTATAATTATGATACATGGACATCACTATTTGCGATCGTCTGCTATACTACTAAGTACAACATATTGGCATTGAGAGGGAGATGAGTTGATACAGTTCTGTCTTTTATATTAATAAACAAATAGAATAAGTCGTGTTTACTACTTTATTATTGAATTCTGTGTATCGTTAATGTTCTAATTTTATTTTATCTCAGGAACTGAGATTTGAAATGCATAATGTTTATAAAGTACGAATTTAGTAATAGATTTACATATAAAAGATCACACCACATTTTAATCAATCCATACAAAGGACAGGTATATTTTAAAATTAACACTTCAGAGCTGTATCGGAAAAAAAAATATCTTTTAGTGTGTGCTTTTTATTATGAGGTTCCAGGCCATCCCCTCGGAATCATCCCTCTGAGCCCACCCTCTAAATACCGTCGTGGATAATACATTTTATATATTTTAGTCGAAGACGGGGTTGAAAATTTGAAAAAGATATAAAAGATCACACTGTGATGTGAATTGTCAATTTAAAAGCTAGGTCTTATTATTAGGCGATGAAAACAATAATAAGTACAGTATGGATCTGATAGACCATTAATTACAGTAAAATGTTATTGAAAACATTGATCTCATAGACCATTAAGAACAGTAAAATATTGATGACAAACTGGAGATTATGTACGATTAATAACAATTAAATATTGATGACAACATGTAGATTATGTACCTTTAATAACAATACATATTAATAATGACAAATTAATAAACTATTAATTACAATACATATTATTAAAGGCGGCAACATGGTGTTGATAAATCATTATTGACAATGCAACTTAATAATGGCAACATGGTGCTGATATTAATTACAGTACATCATATAAATAAATAATGGCAATATGGCGCTGATAAACCATTAATGGCAATACAAATTAATAATGACAGTGCAATATGGTGCTGATATAGCATTAATGACAATACTAATTAATAATCACTATATGGAGCTGATAAACAACACGGTGCAAATAAACGAAAGCATGATCACATGGTTTTAATTAATTATTAATGATAAACTGATAAAACATATAATACTAACTATGTAGACTACAAACTATAAACGGTAGCACATTGATGGTCAAATGTAAGTGGAAAAGCCCCATTTTGCAATTTGATAATAGTCAGTTTATCAGTTCCATATAAAGGTTCGTTATAATCTGATTATAAGTGTGCAATAAAATGAAATGAAATGGGGTTTAACGCCCTACTGTTCACCATCAGCCAACACCTGAAACGAAGCCGGGACTTCCAGGTTAGCTAGCAAGTGTCTTCCTCACTGAGCCACCATAGCTCGCACTTGCATTAACTTAAACCCCAGAACCCTGATAAAATACATGTAATGTTTTATTAATGACCGTTTGTTCTAATACAGTACAGAATTCTCAGCATTAGCACGCATTACGCGTATTATATATATTCTGTAGCAATTATATACATTTTATATAATTAAATGTAATTTAGAATACTTAAGCAATTAAATCCTGTTGTGGACAATAATCTTATATAAGCACGTGGTCCACATCTATACCAGGGAAAGTAATCATTCTGGTCCATGTAAAACCTATGCCGTTTTACAAAACAATAAAAACAATAAAGCAAAAAGCAGATACACCATTAATTACGATAAAAGATTAGAGATAATATGGAGATTATAAACAGTTAATAACAAATCAAAATTATAAATGTCAATACAAATTAATAATCACAATATGAGGGTGATAAATTATTAACTACAATTCAAATTAATAATGGTGGCACCATGGTGTTGATAAACCATTTAATGACAATACAAATGAATAATGGCAATATGGAGCAAATAAACGATTAATAACAATACAAATTAATAATCGCAAAACGGTGCTGATAAATGAAAGCATGATCAAGTAGTTTTAATTGATTTAATGACAAAATGATGCTGATAAATGAATGATGCAGACTATGAACTACAAACACTACAGATTAATAGCAACACAATGATGATGCTGATTATCAAATTATACATCTAATGTATAGCAACACAAAGATGGTAAAATGTGAGTGGAAAAGCTCCAATTTGAAATTCCGAAACAGACAATTTAGCATCTGGGTACAAGTAAGTTGAAAGATTGTCGTATGAACTTTTGTTAGAATCCGATTATAAGCGTGCAATAAAATGAAAATGAAATGAGATTGAAAGTTCTACTTTTCTGCATCGGCCAACACCTGGATCGAACCAGAGAGTTTCAAGGTTAGCGACCCCCCTTCATATTCACTGCGTCACCCGCTTGCAATAATACAAAGAGCCCGGATTATATAATGTTTATTGATAACCGATTTGTTATAATAATGTCTGTAATTTTCAGTGTCAATCGTTTAACTCTAATAGAGGCATTGATAATATTTAGTCAGTTTTGAAATGAAGTAATAGTGAGCTATAATATGAAAAACAGCTACGGTACCAAGTCTAAATTCGTTCTTCTCATGCGTCATTTTGTCTCGTAAATACAGAGATCAGTAATCATCGTCGTAATCATCATCACAATCATCAGCATACTCATCATCATAGTCATCGTTGTCACCATCATCGTCGTCACTATCATTGCCATTTTCGTCTTCAAGAAATTCTTTTAATGCCCTATTCATTTTATAGTATTTATAGTTATAAACGCCATTACCACGTTGATGCGCGATACCATCCTTACTCCGACCAACCCTCGTCCATGCTAAACCATCGTCCCGTCCATCGTCATCATCATCATCACTACATTGAGGTGCTTGCGGGATGAAACTATTAATATCCATGTGTCGATCATCATAAATAAAATCCTCTTCATCTCCAGAATCCAAAATATCATCATCCTTGAAAACATCATCAATACTATCGTGGAAATATCTTTTAGGAATGTAATGAATGAGACGGATGTCATCTTTTAGCTCTAAAGGGATATCTAACTTGTGAACCTTTCTCTTTATATCAAGTCCAATATGTTGTCTAATAACCCTTACACATTTTTCCTTCAGGGTTAAGCTGACACAAAACAAATTAAACCTATCTCTAATTGGTGAATGTAACGCCTCGTCTGTTGTCCTCGCCTTATCCTCCATTTTAAAGTTAACAACGGAAACAATTTCTGCCTGTGTTGCTCCGCTTCGATAAAGAAGTTGTCGAAGTTTATGTCTCTCTTCGCTGTTAAAGTTCCCTAAAGTAACATGATCATTGTAGTGATTGGTTTCGGTAGATGAAGACTGTAAATGTTGAAGGCAACAGTTTTCAGCAACTAAATACCGAATGAAGCTGGTATTGTGGTTTGATTGGGGCCATGGGAAGAGTAACATTCGTTGAATCAATCGGTTTCTCTGTCTGTTTGGTAAATTTAGGAGATACCTACAATCTTTATCTAACAGAAGTGTCAAACACTTTCGTCCAAAACCAAGATCAAGAAATTGTAAGGCTGATGATCCATGTTTATAATCGACAATATGACGATCCGCTCCTACATCTAGAAGTTTATTGATAATATGTGTATCATTGATTTCGGCAGCTAACATTAATGCTGTTTTACCATCGGAGTCTTGAATATTGACATCTCCTCCAGCGTTAACAAGGATATCTACACATTCATTAAATGCCTTGTAATTCACACGCAAATTGTTCTGTAATGAATCAGTTAACGGTATGTTTTGCTGCAAACGTGGATGTTTTTTGAATGCATTCATACGATCAGTTTGCGACTTTTCTTTTAGCTTTTCGTTGCTGACATTCCTCTTCAACTCAGCTATTTCCGCTTGTTTATACTGTCTGTTCAAATGCGAACAAGCAATAACAGCAGCGTGTAAAGCAGTGTGTCCTAATTTGTTCTGTATATTAACATCACATACACGACCTTGTTTGGTTAACAACTCTAAATATATGTTGTTAATCAAATACCCGGCAATAATAACCGGAGTGTTGCTTTTATAGTCTGTGTGATTTATGTCAACACCGTAACCAAACAGCCAGTTAAATTTATCAAATGTAAATTTATATTTCACTTGGGCAAGGAGATGAAAAATATTTTTATTTGTTTGATCAGTTGCATCTCCAACTGGTGACTTTAATCCAATATAATACTCAAAGATTTGTAAATTACCGAGTGTAAGAATATCATGAAGTAATTTAACTCCATTACTAACTATATTAGCACCAGACTCAACTAAAAGTTGGAAGATGGTAAGAGTAGTCCTATAATCCCTTTTTGTAGGATATAAGTAGTTCCGTTTAAAACAATATCTACATGCTGATAGACCATCATCATCAATACTATTAATGTTATCTTTATCACCCAATACAAGTTTAACGATGTCTGTGTCAGTAGCGTATTGTGCCGCTGTCATTAATGGTGTAATACCTGATTTAATCTTTTGTTTTACATCAGCTCCATGTTTGATTAATGATGATACTAGTTTTATACATGTATCTATATTATCACCATGATCTTGTACAGCAAGTGTTAAAGGAGTATCACCAAATTTGTTAATTCCATTAATATCAGCACCATGTTTGATTAGTGTTGATATTAGTTTTATACATGTATCTATATTATGACCATGATATCGTATAGCACATGTTAAAGGAGTAAAACCATCCCCGTTCATTCCATTAATATTTGCGCCATGTTTGAATAGTAATGATATTAGTTTTATATCTGTATCGATTTTATCACCATAATATCGTATAGCATATGTTAAAGGAGTATTACCATCCCTGTCCTTTCCATTACTATCAGACCCATGTTCGATTAGTAATGATATTAGTTTTATACATTTATCGATATTATGACGATGATATCGTATAGCAAGTGTTAAAGGAATATCACCTAGCTGGTTAATTCCATTACTATCAGCTCCATGTTCGATTAGTAATGATATTAGAGTTATACATGTGTCGATATTATCACTATGATATCGTATAGCAAGTATTAAAGGAGTATAACCATGCCCGTCCATTCCATTACTATCAGCTCCGTGTTCGATTAGTAATGATACTAGTTTTATACATGTATCTGTATTATCACCATCATATTGCATAGCATATGTTAAAGGAGTGTAACCATCCCCGTCCAATTTATTAATATCAGCTCCATGTTCGATTAGAAAAGATACTAGTGTTATACATTTGTCTATATAATCATGTTTCATAGCACATGTTAAATGACTATTACCGTTCCCGTCTTTTTCATTAATATCAGCCCCATGTTGGATTAGTAATGATACTAGTTTTATACATGTATCTATATTATCACCATGATATCGTATAACGCATGTTAAAGGAGTAAAACCTATCGCATCCTGGTGATTAATATCAGCTCCATGTTCGATTAGTAATGCTATTGCTTTTATGTTATCTGTATCATCACTATGATATTGTATAGCATATGTTAACGGAGTAAAACATATGTTATTGTGCTGATTAATATCAGCTCCATGTTCGATTAGTATTGATATAAGTTTTACACCTTTCTCTGTATTATCAACATGATATTGTATAGCATATACTAAAGGAGTATAACCATGCCCGCCCTTTCCATTACTATCAGCTCCATGTTTGATTAGTAATGATACTAGTTTTATACATGTATCTATATTATCACGATGATATTGCATAGCATATGTTAAAGGAGTATTACCATCCCCGTCCACTGCATTTATATCAGCTCCATGTGTGACTAGTGATGATACTAGATTTATACATGTATCTATATTATTACCGTGATATCGTATAGCATATGTTAAAAGGGTATTACCATTCCCGATCATTCCATTAATATCAGCCCCATGTTTGATTAGTAATGATATTAGTTTCATGCATGTATCTATATTAGTACTATGATGTTGTATAGCATATGTTAAAGGGCTATTACCATTCCCGTTCATTCCATTAATATCAGCCCCATGTTTGATTAGTAATGATATTAATTTTATGCATGTATATATATTATCACTATGATATTGTATAGCACGTGTTAACGGGGTGTCACCATCTTGGTTCATTTTATTAATATCAGCCCCGTGTTCAATTAGTGATGATATTATTTTTATACATTTATCTGTATTATCACGATGATATTGTATAGCACATGTTAAAGGGGTATCACCATCCCTGTTCATTCCGTTACTATCAGCTCCACGTTCAATTAGGAATGAGATTAGTTTTATACGTGTATCTGTATTATCACGATGATATTGTATAGCACCTGTTAAAGGAGTATAACCATTCCCATTCTTTCTATTAATGTCAGCCCCTTTTTCTATTAGTAATGATATTAGTTTTATACATGTATCTATATTATCGCCATGGTATTGTATAGCACATGTTAAAGGAGTACAACCTATCTTATCCTCCTGATTAAGATCAGCACCATGTTCGATTAGTAATGATATTAGTTTTCTACATGTATCTATATTACCATCATGATATCGTATAGCACATGTTAAAGGAGTAAAACCTATCGTATCCTGCGGATTAATATCAGCTCCATTTTCGATTAGTAATGTGATCAGTTTTATGCATGTATCTACATTATCACTATGATTTTCTATAACGCATGTCAAAGGAGTAAAACCTCTCTTATCCTGGTGATTAATATCAACTCCATGGTTGATTAGGAATGGGGTTAGTTCTATGCATGTATCTATATTTTTACCATGATGTTTAATAACATAATGTACAGACCCCATCAAATTCAATCCAGCTTCTGTTAAAACCTTGATACAGTTAAGACAATCTGATGTATTATCAGCGTTTTTTATACAATAATATAACGCCGTGTGACCCTCCACAGATTCATAATCAACCATATGTTTAATATTATCATTACTTAATAGAATCGATAACATTTCACCTGATTTAGCAAACATTAGAATGGAATAATCAGGGTCTGGTTTAAGGTCAGTTTCAATAATAGATAAAATATATTCAACTGTGTTTAAACTGTTAATCTTGATAGATTCCGTTAAAGCACTCCAATATTTACCTTCATTTTGAATTTGTAAACTTAATCCCTGAGAAAACAGATACTTGATACCTTCAACAAAATCAGATTTTATAGCACATGTTAGTAATTCCAATCTGTGGTTAATATCAGATTGTAACAATAGACATTTAGTAAATAAACATTGCAATAGTGTTAAATTCCCCTTAGCTATGGCCTGACTAGTCAATTTAATAAAGGCATAGCTTAATCTCCCGATATCATCAGGTTGCAGTTGATTTAGTAATGTCTCTATTTCATCCATGTTCTCAGATTCTACATTCTTCTGCAATCTAAAATAAACAAGTAATAAGTGAGAATGTTTTACGTGCCTAAATCCCCCCAATACCACCAATATTATCAATTTAAACAAAATAATTCACAATCAATGTACATAATACAACCTCCATGTTGTAATATACAGTGTTGTAATAGTGTATATTATAAACACAAATATGAATCTCTTTGTTGTGTAATTCAGGTATATTTCCTTAATAAAATAATATGAATTAACAACCCATGTTGTATTACACAAGAAGTTGAGTTTTGATACGCACCAAATTCAAACTCATTCAATAGTAGGGTAAATGAAGTTTCCTTATCAATCTTGTTCAGAATTTTAACACGTCCCACATGGCCAAAATTGAAGAAGAAAAGGGTATATTTTGTACGTTTTCAATGTGCTTTGAATTTCGAGACTGAATATTTGGAACAGTATATATCCTATCGACTCAAATCTTTCGTAAATTGATAAAAGACAAACTGACTGTGCAAATTTTGGAGTTTATGTATACTATAGTGACTTTGCAGAGTCTGTGGAAATCCTGAAAAAAATAGTGAATAGTGCATTTGTACCACATTTTGCCACCTGGTGGCACAAACTGTGTGAATCGTAGATTGCATGTGACGCGACATTCGTAATCTACATCTAAAGTTGTCTCAGATTACAACGTTAGAGAGTTCTACTCCTATTAGCAATGTGAGTTTAAAGCACCCGAAAACCCGAAAAAATTAACGAACTGATGACCCTTCTCAGAGAATTTTGGACCTAAGAGGTTAAAAAATCGGATTTGTTAGTTTAAGGTCACATACTAAAACATATATTTTTATAATGTTTTCGGGGGGGGGGGGGGATCATATTCCCACCATTGGTCCAGTTGATATGGAATGACCCAGGAGGATACCTCTAGCAAGGAAGATCTGATCTGTACGAAACAGTCCACGCATTTTAACTAAATTGAAGCACACAGATGGATCCCGATATGGTTTTTTTTCTAACACTATTTATTCAATAAATATTTACATAATATAAAAATAATATATATAAATCTGTGATCTGAAAACAAGCCGGGGCTTACATAAATTCATCTCCCTATTTACAGTGTTTGAAATTATAATCATAAATTATATAACGTTTTTTTAATTTACAAAGAAAAATGTACATGTAAACTCTCAATGTTGCTATATTATATCGGACATATCGTAGTTTAAGTACAAATGGGGTTAATATACAAAAAGTAATGTAATATAATGTAATGTAGTGTAATGTGGTGTAATGAGGGTAAGCGAAGCAATTATTTGATGATGTTGATAGTAGTGGGGAGGTGTGCGAACCCAAAATTGTGGATGGGAGAGAGAGAGAGAAATTCTGAAGTCTAATATCTAAAACGAGCAATTAAAACGGTAGATAAAACCAAATGAAAACAATAAGTATCATCATTCAAAAGGAGGTAAGTAGAAGAACCAGCAGGACATATTAATTGTTACCATTCGAGCAAGATGGTGTTAGTAGAATCAGCAGGACATGATAAGTATCAACAGTCGAGAGACAGTAGGTGAATACAGCGGGTGCTGTAAATAAGACCAGCAGAACAGGATGAGTATCGTCAGTCGATAAGTATCAGGACATGGACGGATTATCAATCAGGGAACAATAAATAAAATAAAATAAAATGAAATAAATGAAATGAAATATGGTTTTATGGCACGTCAGCTCCAACCGGGCTATATTGCGCCAAACATATGGTAATTATTTCGAGACAGGCTAAACTATATCACAGAACAAATTACATGCATAAATAAAAACAATATCACAGTAAGTAACATTAAAAATAAAATCTATCTTTTATGCATATAACTATCTAAAATACAAAAATGAAATGATATATAAATACAAATTAAAATTTACGATAAAAACCTGTCTCTTTTAAAATTCTAACACTTTCCCATATAAACCCGGTTGGGCAAACATATGATGTAATGATTGACAACGGTAAAAAATGAAATAAAGTAAAATAAAATCTGGTGACGGTAAGTAAAACTCACCATGACACGCTATGTATAATTAATGAGGAGACGACAATTTAAACCAGCAGGACAACACGATAAGTATCATTAAGACACGATAAGTGTCACCAATCTAGAGACCCAAGCGTCTCACAATACGTATCAGGACAGGATATGTATCATGAGTTATATAACAATAACTAAACCCACCATCACGCGATAGGTATTATCAATAAAAAAAAGACGGTAAGTATCATCTACGATAAAGGACGTCTATCAAAAGGTTGTAAATCAAACCAGCAGGACACGATAATCAGCAAGATACCGTAAGTAAAAATATCGGGACACGATATGTAACATCAATTACACCAGCATGACACGATAAGCATCGTGGGTCAGGAATCAGTAAATAGGACAGGCATGACACGATAGGTATTATCATTCAATCAATTACACAACAAGTATAATCAATGGAGAGAAGGTGAATAAAAAACCACATGGGTGTGGTAAGTATCATAAATGAAGAAGCGGTAGGTACAATCAGCATGGCACGATAAGTACCATCAGTCGAGATACACTGGGTAAAAACCAGCATGGCAGTCAAGAAAACAGGTAAGTATCGTCAATCAAGACAACAGGTAAGTAGCATCAATCAAGAGATGGTAAGTATGTGATTTACGCTATCTATATGAATAATTACATTAGGCGAATGTATACGAATTGTATGGCGTGGACATGAACACGTTATATGATACGTACTTGTCAAAATATATATGAATAATAATATCGTTTGTAATGAATTTATTTGCAAACACACTTAGTCCACTTCCTAATACTGTGTGAATAACAAAATGGGGGTTCTGAAGTCCAGGCTAAGTTGTTATTGTCAAAACACTCGTGGGAGGAAATTACCGTTTCGTCAATAAGTGTAACTGACCAATCACCTAATTAATTGCAGAAATCTAAGCACGATCTGCGCATGACATATCCGATACCATTTAGATTCTTTGGGAAAGACCCCGTCTGGATTGGGTAGACCCCGTTGATTCGTAGTGTAGGAGATCCATGGTGTAGTAGGATCATCCAGTAACTCGCCCTGCGGCTTAATGGGGTTTACATAGACTGAGAGACATGCCATTTGTATGTAGTCTATGTTCCTGGATCATAAACAAACCTTTTAGCTGATGATATAAATGCGTACACAACAAGTGAAGTTTAAAGCGAAGTCCAAGCCACAAAACAATTACAATAAAATACGTCAGAGACAAATCTAGACGATCACCGGTTAACAAGATGTGTGGCAGAGAATAAATCAGATGTCGGGTATGGTAAACCATTCGATGGCACGGCTTTCCCATATCCTACCTTCGACGGGCTGCATTCTACACCTCTGACCATGAATAAGTTCAATAATGAGCGGAGATAACAATTTCAATGACAGAAAATTTAGGATACAACTAGGTGTATAGTTCGACAATGGGCATTTTTTGCTGATTTTACACAGAGTGGTGAACCATTTTATTGCTAGATGCAATGTTAGATGTGCAAGTAATTCATAAGTGTCATCTATTTAGGAACACCAGCCTCAGTGTTTGATAGATACAACTAGATTAATGTCCAGTCAGTAGTGGGGGCCTGGGTACAGCGCCTTTGGCGCGCATGCGCAGAAGCCCTAGCAACGGCGTTGCGCATGCGCAGGTCACTTCCGGTGCCCCTAGCAACGGCCACTTCCGGTGATGATATCACTTCCGGTGATGACGTCATAAGATGACGCCACTTCCGGTGATGACGTCACTTCCGAGAGTGCGTCACTTCCGTTTCCGGCGATAACATCACTTTCAGTGATGACGCCATCCTTGGCAACGACCATATCCGGTGGAGATGTCGTGACGTCATAATGACGTGACGTCATAGGGTATTTCCCTGGGGGATTCCCCTTTTCTTTTGTCCATTCGCCCTTTCTTGGGGGTTTAAACTTTTTCTCGCCCTAGTTCCCTACCCTTTTCTCGCCCTTTCTCGGGAGTTAAACTTTCTCGGGGATTCCCTCGCCCTTTCTTCGGGGGACCCCCTTCCCTTTGCTCATGTTCTCTCGTTCTTTCTTGGGATTGCTCTCGGGGATTCCCCCTCCCTTTGCTAGTTTTCTCTCGTCTTTTTTTTTGGGGTGTTCCCTCGCCCTTTCTCGGGACTTGCTCAGTGGGGTTCCCTCGCCCTTTCTGGGGAGTTCACAAGCACGCTTTCACGAAAAAGACTTTTTAATAACATTTTTAATAACATTTTTAATGAATAGAACAATCGAACAATCGAACATTAGAACAAATCAACAATTGAACGTATTTACATTTTTGAAAAAGAACAACACGTTTGTCCACCCAAACGATTTAAGGATGGAAAATTATTTTGAGCCCATTGGTTCACCAGAACATCATTTTGCCGGGTATTGGTGCCAAACAATTGCAGGCACCGTTTCGAATGGCAGATAAAAAATAAACAGTAATGTCCACACACAAAACTCGTTAAACTCTGTAACCATCGGGGTTGATGGGTAGTGGGTCCGTAACGTTGACTGAAATCGGCAAAGGCTTGTCCATAGGTCTCGGGTGGGCATCCGTAAGAATAAAAAAAATACAAGTGTCCAGGTCCTTGACACATAAACACGGTCCAGTGGGTGCCGGGGTCTTGTTCGTCGTCGGTATTGACAATGTAGGCTAGAGGATAGGTATGGGGTTGCAGTTGGTACAGGTGATTCCGGGACCAGACGCCACCAAAGACGTCCGAATGATGACGCAGGGCCTCTTCCAATTGTAACGTGGATAAAGGACTACCAATCCATGATGATTTGGTGGTTACAATCGATTTCCAAGACATTGTCGTATTCGGCAAACATCATAAGATTGAGAGCGTTAGTGGGGGCTGCCGAGAAGCGTAGTTCTAGAGACAGGTTACCCGTGGTTCTGGGATGTGAATAGGCCCGGTCTGCTCCTCGGTCGTTGGTCAAATCAAAACAAAACAGCGTGTAACCCTTGATATAATCGTGGAAACTGAGATCCAAATCTTCTCGGGTATTGAGAACACCCACACGATTCATTAAATCCATGTACGGTGTGATGGCCAATTTATCGCCAAAGTTGAGATCGGCATAATCATCCACGACTATTCCATCTATGGTCAAGTGGAAAGGTGAGTTTGCCGTTGTATCGAAACGGGAGTACGGGGTGGTAGTGTTGACGGGGTGGAAGCACAGAACACTGAATGAGACCTTCGTACTGTTCCCAAGCTTGACTAGGTCGTGTGATGATGTTTGGTTCTTTGAGAGGAAATTTACCGTATTTACACACCCAAGGGTAAAGGGATACCACGTCCACGTATCGGATCTCTTCGTCGGGATGTTCGGCTTTGGCCATCAATTGACAGGCATTGGTTCTTCCTCCAAAAAAGCCAGCTCTGGGCGACAGGGGATCCGGACAAGGCCATCCCTGCGCTTCTAGACTGGCAAAGAATTCTTCCATCTCGGGATTACGACGACGTTCTTCGTTCAGTTCACATTCCCACATGACTTTGATCTCAGATAGTCCATACACGTGACGTAATTTGTAAAGCCGATCTTGAGTGTGTTGATACAAATCACGCATGGTTCTAGACGGATCATAGGGGTGATGATGTTTCACGTCTTGTATGGGTCCGGGGTAGCAGCGAGGACATCCGTGATAGGCACATCCCATGAATTCGTAGCCCGTGTTATCGTCGTAGCCATCTAAATGATACGCGCAAATTCTCACTTCACCCTGGTTACGAGCATGTCGAATCTGTGGAACGCGACTTCCCTCTCGCAACGCTTTGAGAGTCTGACCGTGCTGTTCCCATTCCAACCATCTCAAGGCTATGTTAGATTGCTGTCGCGGTCGAAACTGTTTCCAATCTTTTCCGGCTTCGGGTTCCTGCATCAGGGCTCGGGGAATGATGGCCACCGTATCGGGTTCCAAATAATGCGTGCGAAATACTTTATTACAGGCCAAAGCCAACGTGAGACTTTCAACAAAAGGATCGAGACCCGTGTCCATCATAAACAAGTCTCTGAAAGCAGCACCGCCGCGTTTGAGTACATCCACATCGCTCTTGCAATACGTCAACAGCTCGTGTTGAAAATCAAATGGTTCGTGTTTGTGTTGTTGGTACCAGGCGTAAAAGGCTTTACGTTCAGACACCCCCATGCCTTCAGGATCGTATTCTTCGGCTGGTGGATATGGACCCACGTACGTGTAATGGTCTGGCTTGTTAAAAAAGTGTGGAAAATAGCCTTTCTTCAGTTCCGTGAGGCCAAACGTCGTGGGTACATCTCGTAAAGGCATGGGTAAAAAGTTTAGCGAATCGACAAATTTTACGGCTCCCAAGGTCACTGTCATCACTTTTCCACCACTCATAACAACTTGCGGAGCGGCTATCGCATGGTCGTGTATCGTTTGCAACATTAGTAACCCATCGTATCCCTTAAAATTATGTGCAACGGCTATGATGTGTGTAGACTTGCGAGATTTTCTTCCTCCGGGAACTGTACCGTGTGCCGATAAATAGATGAACCATTTTCCGACGTCGTCCAACGTCCGAAATATCCATTCGCGTTGACCATTCCAGAAAGGATCACAGTAATCACAGGGGTCCGATGATGCCATGCAGAAATGACAACAGCATTGTAACACACACAAGTTTACTACATGTTCTCCCGTATCTTGACTGCATTCGAAATCATAAAATACAAAACGAGTCAATTCTTTTTCTTGGAGTCTTGCTAACTGCTGTGGTCGGTCCGGCTGAGTCATATCAATGGGCGATTTGAGTTTTTGAATAGAACACCAATGGTCTCCGCGTTGATGCCATTTCTTACAGATGGAGCACTCGTATTCCCCACACACGTGTTCGGCCAATGTCCTGTGTCTTCTCAGAATATCCCACTCTTTGCCGCACTGTAGACATTTCGTCCATCGTTGACAGATCGTTGGTGTTCCTGGTTGCCGGGGTTTTAGGTGCCGGTCATAACACATCTGATTCGGAAAACGTCGATGACATGTGTCACAGTCTCGACGAGTGGCGTCTTCCAAACACGGGGGTCCTGACTGTTGACAACTGTGACACATGGCATGACACTCGTGTAGATCCGGATGATCGTAACCTTTTTGACAGGCCTCACAGAAATAGTTTCTTTCAAAAAAAGCAGGCATGGAAGTGATGACGTCATAATGATTGGCGTGATGGTATAAATGTAATATTTTAGGCTGACCACCTACGACGTACTTGGTTCCTTTGAACATGAGTTTTCCAAAGAGTTGTCGGGAATAAACATTGATCTGGTATCCCTGGGGGCCCAGCACACGTTGGTATTGTTCCCAGGTCTCGGGACCACGACAGGCTTCGTAGGCACCTCCTACCTCTTCAATTAATCGGCGGGTCTTTCGTGTCTGCCAGCTGTCGGGTCCACAATGCTTGACTATTCTTTTTCTTTCTGCTTCCCATTCTGGAGTGTCGTTTTTGTTGGCATAGTGTTTGGCCACCACCAAAGCACGTTGGAAACAGAGCTGGTCCCGATTTTTAATCACCACGATGGCTCTCTTCCGTTTCAAATACTCTTCAAAGGAACTCATGTCTTTCTTTTTGATAATAGGCTGCCCACTTCCGGATCCATTAGGCGAGGCTACGTGACACACATGTAGTCTCAGGCGTTCGTCCATCTTAAATTCTTCGTTGGATTGTAATATTCGGGCCAACGGATCCAATATGTGATTTGGTCTGACATCTTGCCACGTTTGAAATGGTATCCATGCCGACGTCTTGAGTCCCGGGTGCGATACACTAAATCGTACAAAGTCGTTGGGTTGACAGCCAACCAAATTCCGAAGATCATTTAATATGTTGTCAAAGGTATCATATAAAACTTCTGGAACGTCCACTGGTGAAATTTGGTCCCAATTCTGATGAAAATCAACGTTGACATACAAGCTTTCCGTGTGAAAACGTCTGGAACGACGCTGGTGTCCTAAACGTAGAGTGTAGCCTGGTGTATTCGCCATTGTAGAATGCTATAACCAGTAAACGCTTGCTCCTTTATATAGACACGGTTGATGACGTCAATATAGAACATGACGTCATTTTAAGTATATGCCTACTTTTATAGCTTTTATAGCTTAAAGTGAGGCTTACAGTGAAGTCCGCGCGATTTCTTTTTTTTGCCTTGTAAAATTCTAAGAACAATATTATAAAATGTTTTTTGTCCAAAAAGTCAAGGCTCTCTCACAGGTCCGCGATAAAAGGACAAATAGGCGTGAGAAACCCAACACTTCAATCATGGGTAATTCTCTGAAGAGAGAGAAACGTCTGACAAGCCAGTGGCAGGGGGAGTTCCAGCAACTTCTCTCTGAGCAGTGTGCCGAGAGGTCGGCATGGGAGGCCGAGAAAGCGGCATGGCAGGCCGAGCGGCAACGGTTTTTGGAGGAGCGAGGGTACCTCCAAAAACTGTTGCGGCAGACCCGCCGTGAGCTTCATCGGCTGGAGGCCTTAGAGCTAGATGCTCACAGAGAGGAACTGTTGAACCTCTATCGGCTGCAAGCCGATGGGGTACTTCCCCTACCACCACCCCCACCGCCTTACAGTCTATACCCTCGGCTGTAAGGCAAACCGGCCATCGGCCATCCAACGGCCCTTTACAGGGCCACCCAAACGGTCCTTTTCAGGACCACCAACTCATTCAAAAAGAGTTTTCATATTCTAATAATAGTTCTATTTTGATTTTAAATAGTAAAAGTTCTATTTTGATTTTAAATAGTAAACAAAACCAAAAATCATATTAAAATCATATTAAAAAATCCTATCAAAAATCTTAATAAGATCCTATTTCGCCCATTCGTGGCCATATTTTAAGATCATATATTAAATTTTCTCGCCTAATATAGTATACATTTCAAATACATTTTAAATTATTTTAAAATCTGTTTTTAAGGAGGGATCATTGCTCTCTATGAGGTCCGCGCTGAGGGGGGGGGGGGAGGGGGGGCTCGGAAATTTCGATCCCGTTATTTTGCATAAAAGGCCGACCGATCGCGCTTTTCTGTCATTCCATCATGGGTTCTTATATTATGTTGGACGGAGAAGACTGGTTTGAGGTGATGGAAGAGGTGTTGGTCATTCCAGAGTGTGCAACACAAACTGTACCAGAAACAGAGATCGCCCTTGAGCCAACGGATGTTATAGTCGTGGATGATAGCGACGACGACGAGTGGTTAGTGGCCAGTGGCCAGACACCAGCACAACCCTTCGAGCCACTGGTCCTCTCTGAAGATCCATTCTGGGGATATACACCGGCCACTCCACCGAGACCATCAACACCCTTATACGACCCGTTTACTGGTACTTGGACGCTGAAGACTTGGCACCAAACCAGCACGCCATCCCATACCAGGTACCAGGACGAAGACGACGCAGAATTTATTAGGCGTATCTGCCTTGGGTAGGCGATTAACCAACCAACGGCCCTTTTCAGGGCCACCCAACTTATTCAGAAAGAGTTTTAATATTCTATTTTAATTTTAAACAAACAAACAAAAAAAACATCTATAGCTAAACGTGCTTACTTTGACGTCCGCGTTTGACGTCGTTCGGAGATTTCAATCCTATTTTCCAATCCTATTTTTTTTTCTTGGGTCTGTTTTTGAGAAGGAGGGCTCGTTGCTCTCTATGAAGTCCGCGCTGAGGGGGGCTCGGAAATTTCGATCCCGTTATTTTGCATAAAAGGCCGACCGATCGCACTTTTCTGTCATTCCACCATGGGGTCTTTCGAGGTGTTTGAAGACATGATATTGGGAGATTGGCAAGAAGAGACGGTAGCAGTCCACACGACGGAGACCCAGTACGAGGGAGACGACGAGGACAGCGAAGAAGAATGGATGTTTGGGGACGAGGAGTGGTTGGTGTCCGACCCATTCCTGGCCGAAATGGCGGACGACATGTATAGTTGGTTGTACGAGGAGACGTTCAGGCCGAACGTTTCCTCTACACCAGTTAGACCAGCCACTCCACCACCAACCGATATTTTCGAGCCCTTTACGGACATCGAAACATTGAAGAGGTGGTACCAGCCAGACTCGGCCACGCCACCATCAACACCCCGTAAACGGAAGATTTACGACGACGACGACGACGACGACGACGCCATGAGGCATGTCCGCCAACGCCTCGGTTAGACAGTCTAACCACCAACGGCCTTTTTCAAGGCCACCCAAACGGCCCTTTTCAGGGCCACCAAATCATTCAGAAAGAATGTTCATATTCTATTTTGTTTATATCTTTATAAGAGCCTTTACAAGAACCTTTCATAAGAAACTTTACAAGAACGTTTATAAGAACCTTTCATAAAAAAACAAAACAACTTTTATAACAACCTTGTATAAGAACTTGTCTCCTACATCAATGTAGACTACATCTATATCTCCCCTTAACAAGGAACACCCTTAGTATAGAATAATCGATGTCCTTAGTAACTAGTAGTATAGAATAATAGATTTACCACTGTACCCTTCTCCCATCCCTGAATTCTATTATAGATTAATGATTATACTATAACTAGTGGGGAATTTTATTATAATTTTCGCTAAATCCAACCTTAAATAGATATACCAATGGGCAAACACGAAAACTCAACAGGGATGACCAACATGGATGACCAAGGGAATCCCCGAGAAAAGGGAGGGGACTCCCGAGATCACCGGAAATGGTCGTTGCCAAGGATGGTGTCATCACTGAAAGTGATGTTATCGCCGGAAACGGAAGTGACGCACTCTCGGAAGTGACGTCATAACCGGAAGTGGCGTCATCACCGGAAGTGACGTCATCACCGGAAGTGACCGTTGCTAGGGGCACCGGAAGTGATCTGCGCATGCGCAACACCGTTGCTAGGGCTTCTGCGCATGTGCACCAAAGGCGCTGTACCCAGGCCCCCACTACTCAGTCGTCATTTGTTTTGGCAATCTCAAAAAATAGTTGTTGCTAGTTTTACAATTTATTGTTTTAACAGCGGGCACCGATTTTATCTGCTGTACTGGGCCGTTTACTAAACTTTCCTGCAGACCATGTAAAAGATAACTGTCCGCAAATAGGAATATGTTGGCACCTCGATACAGGCTCCTCACTCCAATAACCCTACAACATTGTGCAATATTAGTGGAATGATTGTGAAATTTGCGACATTCCATCTGGTATTTTTCACCGAGCTCGAAATCAAGACTATAATATCTCAGTTTAGCCACCTTTTTAAATCCTCCAATACCTGTTAGTTTCGGAATGACGGTGGGCTGCTCATTATCAAATGAGTCACTGCATATCTGACAAAGATACTGTATCCATCTGTGTCTCAACATTTGAATCACCTGGACGACTAGACAGCCGCCTTTGTCAGGCCCTTCGTACTGACATGGAGAAACCACGTCGGAAAATCTCGATAAACTGTCTCGGCCAATGCTGGGTTCAAACACGAGTCAGCGTATTACCCACATAGCCACCGTGGCTCCACATCACTTAAAGGAGGCAAGTCTTTAACTTAATACCATTCACAGTCTTCGTCATTGCAAATGCCAATTAATGGTAAATTTAAATCAACATTGATGTTATCTTATACCTACTGATATCCACTATGTAAGAGACAATGAAAATATTAAAATTGGCACACGAATCGCTTGCCAGAATGATTTCTAGCGCCATTTGTAATGAACCGACCCTATGAATGAGACTAAACATATCCCACAAGAGAATACTACCGATGTTGATTGGAATAACAAGACGCCAAAAAACTGCCATTCAATTTGGACTCTTCGCGTATTTCGGCCAACATAACTGATTAGAGATTAGAGTAAAAAAAACAGACGCACTAGAATGTAATACACATTCATCCGTGTGTGTCCATTTCTAGGTGCCAAAGAATATTGATTTAGCTTCGGTAACCACTAAACATGCACAAAATTGGA